CCCTTTTTTTGTCTTTTTTTTTTCGTGTCTGGCAACGGATCGCAACCCTCAGTGTCGCGCCCGGACCAGACCGGGACCGGCAACGGGATCACAAACCTCGGTGCTGCGCCCGCACCTCGCTCAGCCAGTGAGCGGGAACCGGTCTGTATGTGGGATCCGAACCCTCGGCGGGAGCGCCACCGCGCTCCCAAGCGGCGCACTGTAGCAGTGCGCCACCGGCCGGCCCAGGCACTGAATTCTGATTTTAGCAAGAAGTTGTGAGTTTTCAGCATGGACCACAGCAACCCGCAAATTCTGAACCTTGGTCATTTACTCAGGCTAAAGTCAGAAGGGTTGCAAGCGATCCGCATGCCTCGTGAAACTGCTGGCCTCTTGCCTTTAACTCCACCTCTGTGTTTCCTCTCACTCAGCAACGTGTAGACACGTGTCATCGCAAACAAAGTCTCCCGAGGAAAGGGGCACCGGATGTGAGATGGGGGCCCTGTCGCAGTTATAAAGCTACTTTTGCAGTGCCTGGAAGCTTGCAGCCACTGTGGAGATGGCCAGAGCAGTGCTTGGGCATGTAAAGTTTATTCTTTCTGGGGCATGATCGTGGGATATTTTGCCCACTCAACAGCTCCAGACCAGGACCTCCAAAGCCAAGACAGGTGTAACTGGTGGGAGTGCCCCAGCAGCACCATGCAGCTTGTGAGAGCCAATCGAATGCATCTCTCTCCATCCTTGTTCACTGACTTCAGCCAGGTAACTTGAAATCCACCATGGTGAAGATGTTTATACCATTGGTGGCTGAAAGTGCTGTAAATCTAGGCTGTTTTCCCCAGAGAGCTGTTTGTCACCAGCGCTCCTCTGTCCAATACATCCCTCCCCATTCAGCAGCTGACCTTTTTCTAGATCAGTCTGTTAGGCACAGCCTGTATCTCTCATTTCCCATCCTTTGACTTCCCATGCCTTGACCATACCCAGGAGCTCCTCCATGGCCACCCTGAACCACCCTGCAGATCACCTCCTGAAATGTCTGCTCCACCCACCTGCTACAGACAAGCAAGACCCCGCTCTGGTGATCGGAGGGTGGCACACCCCACACCCAAGTTGGCTCTGCCTCTGTCTTCTGTCATAGCTGCTGCTGGGTCTCGGCCACAGCCAGTCCTCCAGTGGCAGGGGCCAGGCTTCCCTAGCCAGCCCACACCTCGGCTCAGTGTTTCTGTGGATGTTCTGTAATCATCTCTAGGTGTGCTCTCCTTCCCTTTTTCTAGTCCTTCCCACTCTTGACCTCCCAGAAGTTTGACTTTTGCCGTGGAGGCAGGGCAGTTTTCAGTTCATAACTCACTAAGTCACTTTGAAGCACTTTAATCGAGAGGGCCAGGGAAATGCACGAGCAAGACCGGTAGGAGAGAGCCACCTTGTCGGGAGCGCTCATGCCAGCACAGGTGCAGCAGCGGGGGAGGGTTCAAGGTGTGGACAGAGTGGGCAAGGCCTTCTGCATCTCCGCGGGTGTGGGCTGAGGTTGGTAAGCAGCTACGGGCGATTTCTAGGAATCTGTAATAGTCATTTTCTTTCCCTACCTCCTCTGCCCTCATCATGATCAGTATTTTTTTAAAAACCAACCTCCAAAAGGCACATGTGAAAGCCACACCCACTTCTCAGTTGCTGCGCATCAGGCTCAGGCACTGCTGTATCCAGGGGCTTAAAACGATGACGTGGGAAAGTCTCTGTCCCAGCACTCATGTCCTCTCTGGGGGCCTCTGCCAAGTCTCTGGGCAACCCTGTGGGAAGAGAGCTGCTGCTTCCCATGGCGAACCAAAGTCCCACTGTCTGAGTGTGGATGATGGGCCCATGCCTGGGGCTGGAGTGGAATTAGGGGTCAGCCCTGCATGACTGGAGGAAAAACATTCCCAAAGGAAATCCTAGTGCTGTTGCCTGAGGAAGGAGAAACAAATGCCAAGTAGCAAGCACAGTAGATGTGGACAACCGCCGCAGACAGGAACACAGTCAGGGCCCCGGCCCCAGCCCAGGCAGTGAGTGGGTGACGGTCAGTGGATATGGGAGTCAGCTGGGTCACGTGAGTGGGCTGAGACAGGGAGGAGAGCAGCCACCCCAGCTTCCCTCTGGTCTCTGGGAAATGGGTTCCTAGGGGTGGGCCGACTGCGATTTGGTCAGCACACAGCAGACTTCTCCTTACAGGGCATCTCCACCTGCTCAAGGGTCCTCTACCCCAGTAATGGTGACAGCAAGCCTTCCCCTCCTCCTCCTCCCTTTGTGGCCATGCTGCATCTCTCGCCCCTTTTCCCAGCCAGACTTCTGAGAAGATGCTCCCATGCCGTGCCTTCTTCCCACCACCAGCCTACCCCGGAAACTGATCTTGACGAGATCGATCAAGGCCACTGAGTGTCAGGAGCCACAGTCCCACCTCCGTACCTGGCCATACATTCCCGGACCACCTCTTCTCCTTACTTGTCCTACAAGCTCAGCTCAAAGGATGCCTCTTCCAGGAAGCCTTCCCCTTTGCCCCTGCCCCACCCCTTCTCAGGCCCTGGAGGTGCTTCAGCCATAGAGCATATGAAATTGTATTAGGTTTACCTGTTATCTGTCTCTAGTCCCCAGCTAGGAGCTCTCACAACAGGGTGAGGGGCTGGGGGAGGTCTGCTGTCCCACGTGCTTCCCTGACTCGTTCTTTCTGTGGCGTTCCATAGAGGACTCTGGCTGTCTCTTTTTTTCTGTCTATTCCTTCCCACCAGCCTGCGTGGATTCCTAAAACCAAATGTACACATGCATATGTGAGAAATAATTTTTCAAATCTACAGAGAAAGTGAAAGAACAATGAGCACCCATACGGTGTTCACCTAGATTCACCAATAGTTCGCAAAACCAAATGTATTTTAGCTTATTAGCTCCCTCGAAGCTTTGGAAATCCAGAGGTTGGTTATTTTTATAAGGGTATATAGGACATGAGTGCCTATAGCAATTAGGGCCTGGAATGTCTTCTCTTTGAGAACAGGTCTTATGTTTGCACATTTTATCATTTTTATAAAAGTCTACACGGATGATATAAAGAACATGAGAATTAAAAGTTGTCAGAGTGATAAGTGCGTGCATTGGGCTCAATCTGTTATGTTCAGGTCTCCACTCTGTAACTTAATAGCTGTGTGACTTTGGACAAATTACTTAACGTTTCTGTGCCCCCATTTCATCATTTGTGGAGTGAGGAAAATAATCCTGTACCTTAGAGGGTTGTTGGGAAGATTAAATGGGTAAGAGTATATGAAGGCGCTAAAGCAGAGCATGTGCTCCTTAAATGGTACTTTATAGGTGCTGACGGAGGAAGAGAAAGAGACATTATGGGTGTCCCAATATTCTTGCCTCCTCTTAGCAGCCAGGAAGTTTCAATAGCAGGTAGAATTTCTTGAAGGAGAATTGATTTGATTCCAAGTGGTAGAGCTTTCTCTTTCCTGAGCCTTGCCTGGAGTCCTGCAATCTTCAGCCACTCACTGTGCACAGCCACCCTGGATGTGAAACCCCACCTGGAAGTCACTCTGTTGGAAAGCCCTTCCTGTTTCTCCTGGCAGTTCCTGGAATGAGGAACCTGGAGATTGCATCTTCTCTGTGTTTGCCAGGAACAGGCCTGGGACCATAATGTCCTGGAGACAGGTAGCTGAGGCCAGGGTCACCCAGCATGCCTCAACTGCTGTGGCCCAACCATGACTCCAACCTCAGGATCCCAACACAGGCTGGGGCTAATGAATGCAGCGTTAACTGAAAACCCTTTTTGGTTTCAACTTTCATTTTCCAAAATCACTATTAAATGTAGGCATTTTATTTTTGGCCTCAGTAAGCAGAGAACATGAATGGGATAGAATCTGATTGAGCTGATTGTGAACTAACAGGTTCCAAAGTAATTGAGAGCAGTTTGGGGTGTTGGAGGCTCTGGCTGCATGTGCAGAGTAGGAGCCTGGGACTGAGGGTGCCCTGGGAGCTTCATTTTTAGAAATGGCACAAAGACTTGCTATCACCTTTTGTCATGTACCACCTTCTCGTAAATGCCAGAGTGGGTTCTAGTTAGTTGAGCTTTTTTTTTTTTCCTCCTAAATAACAAAAGCAGCAACAACAACAAAACCCACAGAATTCTACTGCAGAGTGCTCTCCCCATGAGAATGACATAGACTTCAAACCTAAGAGAAAAGACAAAAGAAAAGTCACTGGTGAGCACTTCAGATAATACATAGATGGCTTGTATGGAAAACCAGATTTGTGCTATGGCCAGTCAACAAAATGTTGATTCCCTGTTTCTTCCCACACGTGTTGTACTGAGGTGTGAACTGTGAGTGAACAAAATTGTGAGCTCTTGTGTGAGAGCACCCCCTCACCGACATCCCGCACACACCCCGGCAGCTGCCGAGTGTTACTGCTGCGTTTGTGGGCTGCGGGGTTCCCAAACGTAAATACCTAATAGAATAATGACTCTCTTAAAGGACCATCCACTTTACTAATGTGGGGGTATCAAATCCTTAAGAGATGTGGGAGTTAGGCTGCCCTCCTTCAAAAGCCCCACATTGATAATAGCAAAGTGAATCAGTGAGTTTTCCTAGAGTATCAAAATCTGTTTTGTAGCCTTGGACATGCCAAAATAGAATTAATTCATCGGGCAAAAAAGCATCTGTTCAGGTAAGTCAAGCTAAATGTGATTGGGCTGTGGTGTCCCCATGCTCTGCCCCTCCCCCTGCCCCCACTCTTCAAGTTGGTTTTGAGACAAGCAGCTCACGCAGAAGCTGTAAGGTGCCCCCATCCGTCCCGACACCTCTCCTGGGGCATCCTGTGGGTCTGGAGGAGCTCTGCTCTGAGAGCCAGGCTGTGTCCTCAGTAGACAGCTTGCCTTCTCTCACCTGAGGCCTTCCTCCTTCCCCATTGTGAATGGGGAGACCACTGACCCACTGAGGGCACCCAGAAACCCTTTAAAGACAGACTGGATCCTCCCCTGACTCTGTGGTGTTCATTTTTCTTTGTAGCTCTCAAAGACTCCAGTAAGAGATCAATCAACAGTGACTGGAAGATAGAACTCCCAGGAGATTTCCAGATTGCCGGCACAACCGTCCGCTATGTGAGAAGGGGCCTGTGGGAGAAGATTTCTGCCAAGGGACCAACCAAGATACCACTTCATCTGATGGTAACTTGCTGGGTTTGCCCTTGTCTTAAGGCTGTGGCTCCCATAGATATACCAGGTTACTTCTTCCCAGGACTGTGTGAGGAGGAGATGCATCTGGCTCCTGGGGATGCTCAGTGCTCTCTCGGTCTTTTCTTATCTAATCCATTCTATAGCATGCTCCAGAATACTCTCTCTCTCTCTCTCAGCTTCCCCCTGGCTCTTCACTGGCAAAGCTCCTATTTTTTTTTAAAAGGAGCTGCTTCCAAGAAGAAAATGCTTAGCCACGTGGGTGGCAGGCAGGGAGACTTGGCCTTATTAAGCAGACAGCCCCGTTCAGAAGTCTGTTTTTCTATCACATGGCGGGATGCATAGATCTGCCCCATGGTCTGTATATTCACATTGGAAACTACCTTTTGGGAATGTACTATTGACTCAGTGTCCAAACCAGCATCACTCGGATTTTCCAGACTCAGCTTGTGACAAAGCATAGGGAATCAGGAAGGAGAATCCAGTTGTACGGTATGTTTACTCCCCAGGTGGTCTCAGTAAACCTGTGCGATTGGGCCAGGGTGCCATCGTCTCATCTGAGGTCTCCTGGAAGTCTCCGTTTGAGCCACTTAAACATCCACCTGTGCCTCCTTTTAACCCTTAGAGATCTCCAGGGAAAGAAATGCCACTGTTTTCCTTCTAAAGGTCCAGGAGTTCTCATGGATGACTTCTGATAGGTCATAGTAGTTGATTCCACATCTATTCCAAAGAACAGAATTTGTGGCAGCTTGTATGCCTTATAATCAAAGCACACTATCCTCAGTGTTTGCCAGAGTCTCTACTTGAAGTTCTTTTTCCCCATTAATTTGTGATCTCTGGCAACCTGCAGCTGTTCAAGGTTAGTGACACCCAAGAGATGTTCTGGCCACTGTCCAGGGAATCTCTTTAGGCGACCAGCACTGCCTGTGAACACCAGTACCCTGTATGGGTGTCACCTCATAATGGTGCTAACCCCATTAACAATTTCTGGTGAGACAAAGCCAGTTTCCACATGCAACATAAACCATATGGAAATCTGCCAATGCAACACTCAGCTCCCTAATCCACCGCAAATATATTCCTGCAAGTAGATTTCTGATATCCAGGAACCTATAAATCCTTCTGTTCTGAATTTAAAGCAGTTATTCAGAGGGGCTAAGAGAGGAGGCAAGGACAAGATAAAACCCATACGGAAACATCATCTAGCACGTGAATTTGCTTTCTCTAGCATACACCAACATGAGTATATTTCCCTTCTTTCCCAAAATCTTTCGTAAACCAAGCGAGTCGTCAGCCCATTAAAGCAAGCACACAGCCTGGATTCATTCAGACCATGATAAACAGAACTCAGAGAAAGTAACTACTGCCATAGCTGAAGTTTCAGCCCTTGTTTAACATTAATAGCTTTTCTTTCTTGAAATATGATTTTCACTTCAAATTTTTAAACCTAGAAATGAGAGGTGTCCACCCCTTCGCCTCTATAGAGAAAGCCATTGTTCCCAAACTGGGGTGCGCACATTGCTTGCCGAGTCAGGAGCACCCGTAGTCACCGGGACCTGCATTTGAAACCAATTACACACACTCACACAAATTATAGTGGCTACAAAATTGCATGAAATTGGTTTCATATGGATTTTTGATTTACCAGTCTTATTCCCATACTGAGATAATAAAGATCTCTTTTAAAGACTAGTTTTGTTTTGTTTTTTTAAACTGGAGGCATTTTTCCAAATGTGTTACTGCAAATCTGTCTGTTGGAGAAGTGGATGTTTCTGCAGCGAGGTCTGCTCTTGGCCCCCCACCCCCACTGCACAGCTTGGCCCAAGGCTGGAGGGTGTGGGAGGCAAGATGGCGCACTTCCCACCCAGCTGCCCCAGGCAAGCTCCCGCTGGCCCCTTGTGCCAGACCTCTCAGGCTGGAAGGGAACTTGCTAGCTCTTAGACCCAGGGGCACTCACTGGTTCCAAGCTTAGCCTGAAGACGTGATCCACAGCCAGGCCACTTTATGCTCCCACGAAAGGGCTTGTTTTGTGCCATGATGTCTAAAGAAATAAAGCCAGTAGCGCACCTGCCAGCCTTATATAGCTTGTCACATGAGTTCCCAAAGTGCTGACCCATTCATTCGCACACTCACTAAGATTTGAGACCCAGTGGTCCCCCCCACAAAATATGATAGGCCCATTCTCCCACCTCCACCCCACTCCCAGCTTTAAGCCCTGAGCCAGGCAGAGTTGCCATCCTGACTCCCATGGCAGCGGGAAGGCTCATGCATCCTTGGGCTTCCAAACAGATGCCCCCAAAATTCCCCTGCAGTGGGCTGTATTTTGCCCTTGAGCCTGCCTTACCCCTGACTCTCTGGACCAACTGGCATGTGAAAGTGGCTCGTGATGGGGAGTTAAGGACAATGTTTATTTTCAAAAAAAGTAGAAGAACTGTGCCTGCTCAGATCCCTCTCTAGGAGAAGCAGTATATCTGTGGCTTTCTTGTCTGCGTGGTGGCTTCGTGGGTGAGTAGTATGCAGGAATATGGACTTCTCTTTGCCTGCTGCTGTGCTCTCCATTAAAAGTGCAACTAGAGCCCAAGAAGATGCTCATTCTGAAATTCCCCCTCTGAAACTCCTCTGTCGAGTAGGAAAGAGTAGAACTCCCTGATGATGGTTTGCATGTGCCCACCCCTGAGCTGAGCACCTGAGGAACCCAAGGCTGAGATAAAGGGGCACCCCTAGATTGAACCACTCTTGAACCCCAGGAAAGAGCTGGTTCCTGCTAGTAGAGGAACAGCCCCAGTGTGGCATGGTCGGCAGCTTCAGCAACCCTGTGGGCTTTTGCTTCATTTCAAAATGGCCTTTTATTTTGCCACTGATCCAGGTGTTGTTATTTCACGACCAAAATTACGGGATTCATTACGAATACACCATTCCTGTAAACGACACTGCAGAAAATCAAAGCGAACCAGAAAAACCGCAAGACTCCTTGTTCATCTGGACCCACAGCGGCTGGGAAGGGTGCAGCGTGCAGTGCGGCGGAGGTGAGCAGGGCCGGCTTGTCCGCCCAGGGCTTGCCAAGGGCAGGGGACAGGACGGAAAGCCCCAGGGCCCTCAGCAGCCAGGACCCAGAGCATGGCAGACACGTGACCGTGTTTTCCCTGGAGCTGAGCCACGCCCCACCGAGAATCCCTGCAGACCCCGTGGGCAGGCTTCCTAACTTCCGCACCTTAGAGTTTTGCCCACACTGCTGCTTTGCCTGTGGCGTTCTCTCCCCACCACCCCTGCGACCTGAGAGTGGAGATTTGGCCAACGTGTGGCTACGTCATGGTGTGACAGGTTGACCCTGGGAATGAACAGAATAGACCTCTAGTTTTGTCACTTGGTGGGAGGGCACCAGAAGATGTCTCTGCCCCTCCCTAGTACCCTTTCCTCTTTTCCAAAGCAACCCCACTACAGGATACAGTGGAAAGGAAAAGCCCTATAAGTCAGGGAAACACTGGGCCTAAGTCCTGACTACATGGCTTCCTGCCCTACCTCAGCAAGTGACTTGCCCTCTGTACTCCTGTGTTTTCCTCACCTCTGAAATATGTTCGTCTCTTACGCCTACTGTGGGGGCCACAGGGTGAGCCAAAGAGACTGTCATTGGAATTCTGAACTCTAACCCGTTTGTCACCCTGACACAGCAGGGCCGTGGTGGATGGGACACAGGATGGATGGATTTTGATGGGCACAGAGTTAGGACAGGAGATTCATCTGGACTCTGGAAGGCCAGCCCAGAGAGGGGGGTGGCAGAGTGGAACCTGCCCATCAAGTCTTGAGCAGCTCTTGTCTGCTAAGATGACATTTGTCAGATATCTAATACATAGAGGATTGTTTACCATCTAAGTGACCTGTCCCATTGTTCATGGGTGGGAGTTACAGCCACAGCATGACAGCCCATCAGACACTGCCAGGGTCAACTGTGCCTTCCTCCTGTGTGTCCTGGCTGACGCTGTTGTTCTCAGCCCCTTCCTCAAGCAGCCCCAGGGTGGTCGTCATAGCCTCAGAGTCCCCCCATCTGCCCTGCTGTCCTCCCACTCTGTGCCTCTCCCTCAACCCTGCAATTGACTCTGTGCTGATGGCCTCCAATACCAGCCAACACCTATGGCTCTGGCTGCAGCCAAACTCTTCCTTTTGGGCAACTAGCTGCAAACTAAGCACGGCCCAAATGGGGCAGTTAGCAGGCTCTCCCCGGGGGGTGTCTAGGGGGACACTGCTTGCTGTTGCTGCTCACTCGGCAGCAATCTCATTATGACACTGATGACTTTCAGCTCCCTAGCTGACCTGCCACCAAAGCTAAAAGCTGGCTTGAGGCAGCTCCATGCCGTCCATATTCATAAAGGGTGCGATTTGTGGCAGTAGGAGTGACAGTGTAGTTCAGGACTCTGTAATTCTGAGTCATCCCTACACGACAAATTCCCCAGGAGACAGACCCAGCAAGGAATCGGGGATCCTGATAGTTGTGCTTGACTCCCCAGTAATCGTTGATTGCCACTCTTCCCAGATAATAATAATGACAGTGGTGTAGCTAGCATGAAGCATTAAGCACCTGCCAGGTTCTGGTCTGAGCACTTTATATGTATTAATTCATTTTTACTATTACTGAAGCATCCCAAGGTACAGGGAGGTTGAACCAATCAGTCCACTTGAAGAAACCAAGGCACAGAAGTATGGTGGCCAACTATTGGTATGGTGGTCACCGTGATACTGTTAGTGACAGAGCCAAGACTTGAACACAGACAGCCTGGCTCCAGAGGCCACCCTCCTAACTCCCAGTCATTCAGCCTCCCTGACAAAGTCATGTTCTGAGTGTTTTGGGACCACTCAGAAGAAGGGCTGTATCCAGCTGGCATAACAGGTTAGCAAAGCTTCGCAAGAGCAGGTGATGCTTAGAGGTACCAGTCAGCTGGCTAGGCTCGTTCAAACTGGCTCTGGAATGCCTGCTGGAGAGCGCAGGTCTATGTGTCCTACAAACCAGCCTCCTGTTCCTCATTCCTCCCCAGCAAGCATGGGTTCTACAGTAGGTAGCCATACTCTCCAGGTATTCAGTTGAGACCAGATCTCCATAGACTTTAAACATCAAAAGAGCAGATATAAAGATTGGTATTCTTTGATAAAAAGTAAAAGCCCAAATCAGAGCTTTGGCCTCAGTGAATCCTGAACTGTCCAAGGAACAGCTGATCTGAGGAGTTGTTGCTTTCTGATCTTGTTCTAGATATTTCTTCTGTCCCACATTGCCCCTGCCATGTCATACACATCTCATCCCTAAGATTACAGTTCTCCCTCTCTGACAACCACTATGACATTTGCAACAGTCACTTTCAGTGACACACTAATCAATAGTTACACCCGAGCACTCCTCCCTATGTGCGAATGAATGGTTTTTCCAGGTGTGTATGGCCACAGCCTCTCAGCTCCCTGTGGTTTGGTTTTCAGGGGAACGCAGAACCATTGTGTCATGCACACGGATTGTTAACAAGACCACAACACTGGTGAATGACAGTGACTGCCCTCAAGCAAGCCGCCCAGAGCCCCAGGTCCGAAGGTGCAACTTGCACCCGTGCCAGTCACGGTAAGGAGCTGTGTCCTGGGACTTGGACCCAGCAGGGTCTGGGGCAGCAGCACTATGAGTGTGGGGACGGTGATACACAGTTAATGCTATGTTCTGTTGTCGTTGCTGAGTGATTTCTGCTTGCTCGAAATACTGGATTTTTAGCTACTAAGCCGCAACCCTGGTGGAGATATACAGTCCTAGCTGGAAAGTGTCCTGTAAGAGACCATTGGTAATATCCCCCTAAAAAAAAAAATAACCATCGCCATACACTTTCAGCTGGTACCCATCAGCTTAGACAAATTACTTTGTCTAAGAGGAAAAGGAAATAAAGGTTAGAGTCTGAGTGCCCAGGGGTAAGTGTCACATGTTAAGGTTTGTAGCTGACCTTGTTTCTTAGAGTCTGAGTGCCCAGGGGTAAGTGTCACATGTTAAGGTTTGTAGCTGACCTTGTTTCTTAGAGTCTGAGTGCCCAGGGGTAAGTGTCACATGTTAAGGTTTGTAGCTGACCTTGTTTCTTAGAGTCTGAGTGCCCAGGGGTAAGTGTCACATGTTAAGGTTTGTAGCTGACCTTGTTTCTTAGAGTCTGAGTGCCCAGGGGTAAGTGTCACATGTTAAGGTTTGTAGCTGACCTTGTTTCTTAGAGTCTGAGTGCCCAGGGGTAAGTGTCACATGTTAAGGTTTGTAGCTGACCTTGTTTCAGTGGCTGAAATTAATGCCAGTGAGTGCAGATCTTGTGTTTCTTATTTGGTACCCATCAGAACTTCGGCCCCAGCCCCAGCTTTCACAGCCATGTTACTCACGTGCTCTGGAGTGAATTCTCTTGGGCTAGGTCAGACGAGAGGAATTGTATGGAATATGTTCTTCACTTAAGCCTCCTTTTTTCCAGTCATTTTAGTGAGACTTTGCATAGTACCGTGATTCTGTCACATGTGTAATGCCACCCCTTGGCCTCTTGGTTCTGCTCTTGAGGCAAATGGTTTTTGTTCTGTGGTTCCGTGCGTCATGTTAAGGCATATTTACCTTTTCTAACCAGGCTGGGCTGTCAGCAGTGTTATAGGTTTCTTAAGATCAACACATGCCACTTGGCTGGTACAGGAGTTTCATACGGCATTTGGTGTCTGCACCAATCCCCTTAACCTAGTCAAACGCTTAAAATGTGTTTGAGTGAGAGAGAGAAGAAAGGAGAGAAATCAGGAAAGTGAGAATTATTCCGTTGATCCTATGTGCCCCTTGGCAAATTAAGAATGAAATTCTACCATAATGCTGCAGATCTTAAGGAAGAGCTCAATGCAGAAGGTCTCCTTTAGCATCTTGGGTATGAGCAGCCATCCCACAAACCCATTAATCAGTCAGTCAATCAGTCAAATACATGTGGGGCCAAATAAGGAAGGACTTGTCACTATAAAGACTCAATGATTGAATGGGCCACAGTCTTTTCTCCTGAAACCAAGGGTGGCCCCATCCTTGTGAAGTGATTAGAAAATAGGATAAGGGATGCTAGACAAGGAGAGCTCAGCATTGGCTCAGGTGCATGAATGAGCAAAAAGGGTCTTTGGAATCCATTCGAGAATCATACTTTAAAATTGGTTATGTTTTCCAAACTATTTTACTATCCAAATCTTTTTAAATTTATGCCAGAAACCAGATAAGCTAAATAAAATTAAACATATGAAATGAGAGCTGCTGTGATTGAACTAAGACCCACATGAGAGGGGGAAGGGCAGGCCAGTCCCGTCTGCCTTCCCATCTGCTCCTCTCACGTTAGGCCCATGGCACCTCTGTGAACTCTATGGAATCAAGCATCCAGACTGTCAGTCAAAGGTTTACTTCCTGCGATGATGGCGTAGTTTGTATTGGACCAACCTTCCTACAGATAACAATTGTGAACTCTGGCGACAATATAAAAAGCAACTGTTTAAAAGCTAGAGAGCAGGCAGAAGCTGGAGAGAAGGAGACAAACAGAAGAATAGAATGGCACTATATTTCCCACATTTACAGCTTTTAAACTGAATAGAGGCCCTAATTGGATCTCTGTGGGATGGCTAAAACTCTTGATAGGTACCTGCCATCTTTTACTGGTTGAGCCATCAGAGAAGAATATTCAAAGTAGCCATAGCAGAAACTGAGGAGGAAAACTCCCAGAAAGGAGAGAGCCACAGACGGGGACTCCCAAATTCTGCATATGTGTTTGACCAGTATCTCTAAGAATAAGGTATGTGTAAGGCAGACTCCACGTAGCACAGCTAAGGCTAGAAGAACTGAACTGAGAGTGTAGCTGCTGCCCACCACAGGGGAGACTGTGTTTGGAGTTTTAGTCCAGTCAAATTAGTTGCCTGCTAAAACAAAAATTCAGTATTCTTCAACAATGATACTCTAGAGCTGCACTGTCCAATATGGTACCCACTAGCTAGTCCAAATTGAGACATGCTGGAAATGTAAAGTATATACCACATTTTAAAGATTTAATATGAAAAAAGATTGTAAGTCTTAGTTTAATATTATGAAATAATTTAAGATTATAAAAATATTTTAATAATTTTTAATGTGATTACATTGATTATGTAATCATTCAAAATAATTATATTTTGGATGTATCTGGTCCAACAAAGTGTATCATCACAGTTAAGTTTATCTGTTCCCCTTTACTGTTTAATGTGGCTAATAGAAAATTCAAATTGCATATGTGGCACATTTCATTTCTGTTGAACAGTGCTGCTGTTGATTAACGTACTATTCACAATGCTCAGGATGCAATCCAAATTACTAATCATGCAAAGCAACAGACCCAAACTCAAGAGAGAAGGCAATTAATGGAGACTGACTCTAAGAAGACACATATGTTGGAAATAGAAGACAAGGATTTCAAAGCAGTTACTGCAAGTATGCTCAAAAACATAAGGAAAACTATGCTAATGAATACCGAACGCTTAAAATTTTAGAACTAAAATATGCAATATCTGAAATTTTAAAAATTCATTCATAGGTCTAAAAGTAGATTGGAGATGACAAAAAAAAGATCAGTAACCCTAAGATAGGGGAATAGACATTATTCAGTTTGAAGAATGGAAAGAAAAAGTTGTTGACAATGACAGAGACTCGGTTACTTGTGGGACAATATCAGGCATTCTAGCATAAGTGTAACTGGAGTCACAGAAGGAGCATAGAGAGAGAATGGAGTGAAAAATAATCATGGAAGAAACAGTGACCAAAATTTCCCAGATTTCGTGAAAGATAGAAGAGGATAATCAAGTCACATCTTCATGTTTCAACTAGATTTCAGATTAGCTCCAACAGCCATAACAAAGCCCTCTGATTATAATGCCAAGTGGACCAATGTAGCAAGTTTGTGATTTTGCCTCCCGTAGATCTCCTAGAAGGGGCTCTGTTGCACTACAAAACTTTAACCAGAAAATCACATAGGAAAACACCCACAAAACAAAGAGACATAAACAAACATGAGTGCAAATTCTATAAATAGGTGTTAGGGAGCTGCTCTAAGCTTATGATAGAGACCACCATTTGTTTGTATAGCTCCAGAATGCTCTAGAGTCATTATGGCCTGACAGACCACAGTCCTGCGGTCTTGCCATGTTTGAACCAAGTTCAAGCCAAATATATTTTAGACTAAAAGCAATTTCAGAAGCATATTCTTAGTATCTCCATAGGACAAGGGTTGGCAAACTTTACCTATAAAGGTTGCAATGGTAAATATTTTTGGCTTTCCAGGCCACATATGGTCTCTGACACATTCTTCTTTATTTTGAATTGTAACCCTTTAAAAAAAAAATATAAAAACCATCATTAGCTCCTTGGTTGTACAAAAACAACCTGCAGGCCGGACCTAGCCCGTCAACAATAGTTTGCTGACCCTGCCTCAGATGATTGCTTACCCTTGTTTTGCCTGCTGCTGAGATGTTGGGACCACCCTCAGCATGAGTGCAAGCTCTGAAAGTACTGGCTCAGGGAATGTATTTTCTTATTCCTGCAGAGGAGGGCACCATTTCTTTTTATTATCTAATTTTTCAGTTACTCTTATTTTAAAAGCATCCAGCATGGCCCTGAGCACATAGTACACCTTCTGTAAATTCATCCATTCAACATGGATTTATTGAGCACCATTCCGTTCACCAGGCATTGTTCTAGATGCCAAGATATTTAGAGGTGAGAAAGGCAGACAAGGTCTTTGCTCTTGTGTGATGTCATAAATATTAGGTTTCTCCCTCCCCACCACTCTCCTTTCTACCCACCCCCTTCCATTCTGTTCCTGACTGTAAATGCATGTGAGTCAGATTTAAAGAATGAGTAGAATTTCCATAAGCAAAGGAGAAAATGAAGTTGATAAAAGAGAAAACAGCATCCGGACTTTGCCTTAGAGCCTAGAAAGAAAATGCCTGGTTGCCTACTCCAGGCTGGTTTTGTTTGTTAGTTTGTTTATGTGTTTATTCTGAACCATCTGTCTTTGTACTGTTTTTTAACGTGGACTTATGAAAATGAAATGCCATGATTCATCAAAGAGTATTTGTTGTTTGGCTAAAGAAATTTATGATCTGATAATAGATTTAAAATTCTTGCAAATCCTCCTGATGAGGTAGATATACAAGTATATATAAATATATATACATGCATACATGTATACATACATGCATGCACATATATAAATACATACATACACAATATATGTACATAGCATATATTGTGTATAACTATTATACAAATACACAAATATTTGGACAATAAAATTTAGAGTATTGCATAGCATGATGTAGTTGTCATGAGTCTTTCATAAGAACTTGTAGTTACATGGACTCAGACTAGTAAGTGAAGAAAAGTGGAGGGTTGACCACAGAAAACGAGTGCTAGAAAATAGGAAAAAGATTAAACACATAAGTAAAAATTGTACTTGGGTAAAGGGGGTTGACTTTGGAAATGTGTAGGGTCTGGAAAACAAATAGCTATTTCAGATGGGGTGGGCATGATTGGAGGACAGAGCCTGTAACCTGGAAGAAGAGCCCAACAAC